GTCAAAAAAATGGGTATCCTGACGTTTTGACGATTTTCGTTATTTATATTTTCCATTATTCTCTTATAAAAATATAGTTCATTTTTTTAATTGCATATAGGAAATTCAAGAAATACCAACAAATTTTAATCAAACTTTTCCACTTTTCAATTCGATTTCTTACAATAATTTTGAGTATGCAGTTTTGTAGCCCATTAGTATAAGTGCTAGTTTTATGTCTTTAAGACTTACTGTTGATTTTTGAGAATTTTTTTTTTTGTCAAGGGTGTCTCGCATTTTCTTCCATATAGCGCAAGAACAAAATCCATTTTTATATGGACGAAAATGCGCAATACCCTTGACATAAAAAATCAACGTTAGTTTCTACAGAATTGAAATTTGCGATGGAATTGAAAAGTTGAAAAATTTGATGACAATTTTTCGGTATTTCTGGAATTATCCCGAGTTCTATATGATTCTGCTGGTTTTTTGCTGTTGAACTAACTATATTTTTACAAACAAATGACAAACAAAGTTTATGAAAAATATAAATAAAGCACTCTGAGGGTATTCATATTTTTGGCGCTGACTGTATGTAAATACATAAGTGTTTAAAAGCAGATATACACACTGAATGTAAAAAGATGCATATTAAATTTGTAAATATTCTTAGTTTACTTAATTTTTTTAATTGTTATTGTAGGCAAACTACGCCTCAAGGGTCATCATCGACAATACAATTTATTTTTAAGCATCCAGAAAAAAGTTTAAAATTCCATTTAAATAAGCATCTAATTGGTGGCAGCGCACATACAATTCTAAGACATTTCAACTATAAATATTATACAAATGTTGTCGAACTAACTTCAATAACAATTGAATATGCAATTAAAAGTTGAAAGGTTCCATGGGGGAAAAAATAGAAAAGAACGCAGATTTGCATGTAAAAGTATGCACAAACATACATTTGTTCTAGTAACAAATACAAACCTACTTATGTATGTATGTCCAAAAATATGAATAAAATTATATTTATGTAGATCAAAACACATACATACATACATATATACATGTGTGCCGTACATTCAAGCAAGTCAGTACAAGTAGAAATATGCACTACAACTGGCATGCGCATAATCACACGCTTATAAATATTATATAAATTTTTTGTTTTGCTGTCCAACATTACTCCCACTTGGAGAAAACTTTGCTTGACCTCTGCTCTAACCTAACTTTTTCCTCAATCATATCGAGTAATTGAATTTAATTGAATACCTCGCAATGTTTATTAAATATAAATTGCAGATGGTCGGAAAAATAGCTTACGCTTGTGGATCGGAAGCTAAAAGAGGTGAATGTATAAATGATAACCCAGTCAACAATTTGAAAAGGGCCTCTACCCTGTCTATTGCAAGCAAAAAAAAGGAGTCCATAATCAAACAGGAAAGATCTTTTCCTAAAAGTATGGAAAAGGAAGGCAGCTAGCAAACTTCTTTATGGAGAATTTTGTCGGCTAGGAATTGAAAACTTAAATTTTTATTTTTGAGTATAGTGAAGAGAAATTCAGACTCGCTCTTTTACCTCTGAAGAATTTCTCGCTTACCCAGTGCAGTCAATTTGTGATTGATCGTATTCATTTTCGGATTCTACTTCGACTTCGTATTCGACTTCGTACTCGGATGTGACATCATATTCGCCTTCGCATTGGCACACGTCTTCGAGATCGTTTTTGTCGTCTTATTCGTTTTTACATTCGTAGTAGGGTCCGGGTTCGAATGTTTTGCCCTTGCTTATGGAGTTCTTCCTGCGCTGCCCATCGCTGCATTCGACGGAACATAAATTGCTTATCAAAACTATACGACAATATTTGTTCAAAAATATCGAAACTCCTGCAGCACTGAACATCTGTACTGAGTGGTGGTTTTGAGAAATGAGGAAGCAAACGCGTACTCGAGGACCGGGTCTGAGACAAGGCATAAGGAAAGGAATCTAAGTGTACAGTTTACGATGACATAGCTCGCACGAATTGAGCTGCATATCACATTAAGTATACCTAAGCAGCAAGTGGACTTTTTTTTTTAGATACATATGTACATGCAGAATATACACTGAGAAAAAATTAACTATCCTCTTTTTTTCAAACTAAAACTCATATGATTTCGCGCCAAACGACCTTTTGTTTATATAAATAAGATTTATTTTTGGAGATGTTTTCATTTGAATACGATTTCAGTCTGCAAAAGGAAACCAAAAAAAATGAAATTATCAACTTTACGAAACACACATATTCATGGGCGTAGCCAGGTAGGGGAAGGGGGGTGCTCGAGCCCCCCCTAACTTTCAAATTTTCCTTATATATATATAAAATAGTACCCTGAAATGCCAGCTTAATAGGGCCGAGCCCCCCCNTGCATCATTGACAAGATTTTACTATTTATTTTATTACTGGTTTGCCCTCACCCGCTTCGCTGAATAGCTCAGTCTACAAGACGTGTCACCTACTAAAAATTTATCTATATCGTAGAAAGCAAAAAAAGTAGCAGAAAAAATTAATTGTTTATAAGAACCTTTAAAATCGAGATTAATTTAAAATATTAACCATAACTTGGACTTGCTTGGGGAACCTCTACAAAATATTTATTGTTTATTAAATCTCTTATTATTTGGCTATATAACTAAATTGGTCTCGGTTACTTGAAACTTTTTATATAATTGAGAAAAAAATCTTCACCAAAACATAGCTAAATACCTGAGGAGGAAGGTTCCATAGCTAAATTACACCAAAAAATTATTTATTTACTCGTCGGAATAATTTGTTCTTTATTAATGTAGCTTTGGACCATGTGAACCGATTTCAATTATTATTATTTTTTTATCGAAAAGATGGTACCTCAGTTTCCCGTCCCGTATTTTGGCTTAGATCCGATCATTGGATCATAAAAAAATTAACGATAATTAAAAATTAATTGTTTAATAAAAACTTCTATAAGCACAAGATGCGCTTAACTTTCAAAAGTATTTGCTAAAAAATTTTAAGAAAGAATTTTAATAAAAAAAAAATAAATAAATACCATGACAACTTTACATTTTTAAGTTAATTTTTCTCAATTTCTGGTTTCTGGTTTTCATTGGAGATGGTGATTTTTTACTCATTTGCCTCATTACTATTAATATTTCGATTACCGAACAAATTAACTGAGCTTGTTTTTTTATTATGTAGTAGCTCATTTTGGTTGAACAAATTCGAAGTTGGGAAACTAAATCTTCCAATCCTTGCTAAGTACATATTAGTGGTAAACTCTTTTAGGTTGTAAAGTGTAAAAAGCAACAGTACACCGTGAAAAAAATCAAGCAAAAATTGGTTAATTTAACCAAATTTCAAACTTAAAAAGTAATCAACGGGATTTTTGAATATAAACAATTTTTAATATAAACCACACTCTTGTCTACCTTAACCAAACGTTTGGCTGTCGATTTTTTTCATTTGAATACGCTCATGCTCTGCACTTCTCAGATGCAGGATTCGGAAGATACAATAGATAAATGTTCATTATCATTTTAACACATTGCCTCTGACGGTGTTTGAACCCACAACTTCTGAAAATTAGCAAACAACAGCAAGCATCTCTGCACACACTCAGTTACAGCCGCTTTATAAGTGTGTCTTCAAATGTTCAACTTGAATCAATTTTCTTCGTCGTTTGATTTGGTTCTGCACTTTACAGATGCTTTTTCGTAATTAAGAAAAACCAAAAACAGAAAAAAAGGAAAAAATTATGTGTTACCGCTAACGGCAATCGAACCCGAACCCCTTGCGCGCCAATGATCGTCTATACACTGAACCAAAAATCCATCTCTGGATCAAAGAAAAACGTTCCTTACTTTAACAAACATTCATACCTACATACATATGACACTGACCATTTCAATTTACAGTAAAACCAATTAAACTGCGACACAGTCAACAATTAATTAAAATAACAACCGCAAAATCAAAACGAAAAAATTTTGTAGTACATATATAATTATAGCAACAACAAGCAAATAACACCCCAACCGCCCTACTTTGCTTACCTAAAGTACAGCTACAAAATTTCTATTGGGAAAGGGCAAATTGTTATTTGTAAAAATCAATTTCAATGTTTTGCTACATTTGTAGTTTTTGTTGTAGTAGCAGCTTGTTATTGCTGCTGGAAAATACTTTGCTTCCACACTTGCGTACTACATACTTGTACGTAGGTACTACGTACAAATCAACCCTGTTTGGATTGTTGTAATGGATATTTTGACGCTGAGGCAACGAAATAGACAAAATAAATAAAACGCAATAAGGGCCAACAAGAGCGGTGCAGGCAGCAGCGGCAGCAGCAGCGGCAGCAGCAGCAACAACAATTCGAACAGCTAGGAGGAAAGCTGCCAACCACCAACACGGGTATGTATGTACCTTTGCAACAAAACTGCTGAGTGTATGTATGTATGTATGTGTTTGTGCACCGCATGGCTGACTGGCAAAATTAATAATGAAGTCAGTTTAGGGGTGACAAAGCGCGCGCAAGGATAACAACAACAGCAGTTATCAAAGAATCACTTGCGCGCTGCAGTTGACATCCACGCACAACACACAGCGACACACATAGGCACTCACTCGGCTGTGGAACGTGAGTATGCCATTTGCCACCATTGCGCAGTTGCTTGGAGGCGGAGTCTCCGCTAAAAAGGCTAGCAAAGGCTGGCTGGGCAAGGAAGGGCAAGTCAATGCGAGGCAAAGGCGCGAGCAACTGAGAGCGCATGTGTATGTGTGTGTGTGAGTGCACTTGTTTGTTTGTTTGTGTGCGCGCACATTTGTTTGTTACTCTTGCAATGCGCACTTGAGCTGCTATAGTTAGCTGGGCACTTTGTTGTTGCTCTATGCTTTGCCGCAGCAGACATTGTGTGTAGAGTTTCCCCGCTGTGCGGGTCACGGAGGGTAGGCGTATAAATACTGCACCACCATCGAGTAGAGAGTCAGTATTGAGTTTCACTTCGCTTTGAGTAGATGTTTCCAGTTTACAGAAGACGACGGCAAGCCACAAAGCAAAGCAGAGGTGTAGTACACACACTAAGCAAGCAAGCAAACCAGTTAGTTCACTTTAGTGCAGAAAGCAAAAATAAGAAATTTGTGCAAAATGGTGAAAAGTGTTATCGACATGGAATTCAAGAGCAACTTCTCCATCGATGCCATACTTGCGAAGAGTTCGTCGCAACCACACCACACACACCCCTACCAGCTCCAGTATGCTGAACAGCGTCTTCAACGTCAACAAAGTCAGCAAAGTCAACATCTACATCAGCGCCCGCAGCAGCACCGCCAACACCAAGTGGATTTGCAGCCTAAGCCAAGGCAAGCGCATAACGCCGCCGAGCAGCTACAGCTGTTCAGCTCCGCCGATGAGTTGTCCAGCATAGAGGAATTTGATACGCCCTCGCGCACCAGCACACCCATGAGCAGCGTAGCCGGCTCGCTTACCTCCAGCGAGGATAAGCTCGAAGAGGGCGAGAGCTGTGATGATGAATTGGACGATGAAAGCGCCAATGATGAGGAGGAGCATGACAGCAACAAAGCGTCCGGTGATGCCACTGATTCGAAAACAGAAGGCGATAGCAGCAAGAAGCCACCTTACTCCTACAATGCGCTCATCATGATGGCCATACAAGATAGCCCCGATCAGCGGCTCACGTTGAACGGCATCTATCAGTATTTGATCGATCGCTTCCCCTACTTCAAGAAGAACAAGCGCGGCTGGCAAAATTCCATACGTCACAATCTCAGCTTGAACAAGTGCTTCGCGAAGATACCACGCAGCTACGATGATCCCGGCAAGGGCAACTACTGGATCTTGGACCCCAGCGCTGAAGAGGTTTTCATTGGTGAAACAACTGGCAAGTTGCGTCGCAAGAATCCTGGCGCTAGCCGTTCACGCTTGGCCGCCTATAGGCAAGCGATCTTCTCGCCGCTGATGGGCGCTTATGGCGCCGCAGCCGCTATGCCCAGCTACCATGGGGCTACACAGTTTACGGGCGCGGCTGGTTATATGGGCGCAGCCGCCGCTGCTGCAGCGCTCTATCAACGCATGACAGCACCAGCGCCTTTGACAGCAGCAGCAGCAGCCGCTTATCATGCCATGTATGGCGGGGCGGCACATCCACAACCGCCACCGCCAACAACAGCTCATCAGTTGGGTATTGGCTATGGGCCGTCGCCATATGGCGGCATGCCTACACTAACGGTCGGCGCAGCAGCAGCGCCCATGTCCAATGAATTGTTTCAGCGCATGCAGTTGTTCGGCAAATTCCCCGCAAGCTAAGCGGCGCGGCTTACAAGTGTCAGCGACGGCAGACAGACAGACAGACAGAGTAGGTGGCACGCTTCGGAGTGTTAAATGGCCACCAAGTGCATAGCGATGAGGGCGCGTACAGCTAGCTGCAGGATTTCCATACCCAAAAGTGGCGCGAGAAATGAGTGGAATGCGCAGGCGCGCCGCCCGACGGCAAAGTGACGGGAGCCTGACTAGCAACGAAGACATGTGAAAACAACGGGTATAAGCAGCTTGGCTTTATGTCTGGTAAATCTCTTAGTGACTGACAACTGAGCGGCAGGTGGAGCAGCCTCCGGTTAGACAGCGGCCGCTTCGTTGAATTTGTGCTTATAAAAGTGTAGGATTTTAGCTTTTTCTAAAGAGACTTTTTTGTATTTAAATTTAAAACATAGTCTGGAAGCAATGAAAAATCAAAAACAAAAATGTACAATATTAAGCATAAGAAAATATTTAAATTAAACAAAAAATACATATACATACATATTAAAAAGACAAAATTAAAAAACAAAAAATACGTTTCATTTATTTGGAAAATTTTCAGAAAAATCTGGACTAAAAATTTATTTTTCAGCATCAAAGGCTCATGAAGTCAAACAATAGGGTTGCTCTCACATACTGGAAAAAGGGCCCGAAAAACTGCAAATTTTGACTGAACCAAGGCATATGAAACAAGTAGTGTTTGTTTTGGTTGTTTCTGGTAACTAAAATTTCGAAATTTTGTTTTTTAATATCATAACGGGCGATGTGATATAAAAAAATTAATTAAAATTTAAATAAAAAGAACCGTAACCATAGCCATTAAATGTTCTGATAAAACGTATGCTGAATGCAAATCCGAGGTCCGCTAGCCTCCATCACGTCAGGTTCGTGGTCATTTGAAGGTCAATTAGGGAAAAATTCATTGAATAAACCTGAAAACTCAATAAAATTCATCGGAATTTGACCTTGGGATGACCTTGGCATAACCTCTGATGGCCTTGAGGAATCAAAGGAGCCCCATATTCGGTTTCAGCAACAACAAAAAAAAAATTTTATTTTTTTTATTTTTATTGAATAAATTTTTTGTCCTATTTGACCTTGAAATGACCTCGAAGCTGACGTTATGGAGGCTAGCGGTACCAAAAATCAGCGTTTATGCTCCTGAGTTAAGCAACCGTTCCAAAGGCTAGTTTTCAATCGCTTTTTTTTTAAGACTCAGATGCAAATATATTTTTTCAATTAGGTAAGAGTTTTAGCTAAAAAATATTAGCAATTAGCAAATAGTTTAGGGTCCGTATAATTTGAGAAAAATCAAATCAGCTACTCCCCTGCTACTTCCTGTTTAATATGCCTTGGACTGCACTGTAAAGGCTTATAAAAAGTTCTTCCAGTCAGTGGCGTAGCCAAAGCGGATTGAGCGATCCTTCGTCAATGAATTACTTTTTTTTTTGTTTACTTTTGAATCCAAAATATATAGAAACGATATTATCACAATAAAACTACAATGATTCCTTTCACTAGAAGAAGTAAGCTATGCTTTCCCCTAAAAGGCATAGGTCAAATATCTAGGCATAATCCTGAATAGGAAACTCATCTGGGAGTCACATCTCAACTCTACTATGAACAAAGCAACGAAGTCGCTGTTTACTACCGAACAGCTCGTGGGAAAAAATGGAATCGTCGTGTTGCTCGTCTCAAAATCTATAATATATATTAGTATAATAAAAAATAACGAACATTTTTTTTTTTAGAGTAAGTCTGCATTTTTTTTTTTACGAGCACTATTTTTGAACAATTTTTTTAAGGTCAAGGCCAGTTTTTTCTCAGAAAATGTATGTCGGTATGTGCAATTAATACGAAATTATTTCGCAAGTAGAATCACAATACCAAGAGTGTAATTGAAATTCTTAACCAAACTCGGATTTCTCGACCGACTCGGATGCGCCCCTGCTATAACCATAACCACCCGTAGATCATCAAGCACTGCCCATAACCATTGCCATGTACATATGTACATACGCATATTTATGATTTTTTTCTGTTTTGAATGCCATTAGCCAAAGCCTCTGTAAGAGAGCGTATTAGTAAATTGCATTTGGACTCTATTTGTCCAACTACTTCGACTTGATTGGGTATAAGGAGGTTTCACTGTAGGCAAAACAAAATCTTGTTCTATTCAATCTTCAATCGACAACCTGTTTTCCATCAGTGTCTATTGAATCCTAGCCACGCTTGAATTTTGTATTTATTCTATGTTAGATACTAATAATGTGTACTTCAAAAAAAATTTTCGGTTTCATTTCACCATTTCAACACCAGCGACTTTTGCCGGCTCAACACTTCATAATTCCACGATTTGTCACCTCGTTTGTATATGTACATACACAGAAAAAAAATTCAAAAATAAAATAAATAAATACACTTTTTATACTCTTTTCTTCTTGAATTGATCTGATCTTTGACAAATCTCCACATTATCTCACAGTCAGCGCTTTTGATCCGCAGCCGACAAACATGCAACTCGTTGCTGCCAACTTAGATGCCACTGCTGCCCGATTCCAACCGATTTGCTTGTAAATGACTTAATTACGTGTTGAATGTGAATTTATGTGAACATACACATACATATACACTTACTTACCTAGCAACAATAGTGCACAGCGAGTGATACGTGGGATCAGCGAGCGGCAACCAAAAAAATAAAAAAAAAATAAAAAATTGATGGTTCAATCGCCAACACCAATGGACGGACGGACGGACAACAAGGGCAGCATAATAAAGGCAACAAAATAGTTATAACGATCGACAATATGTTTAGTGACAAGTCCAGCTGTGAGGGTATAGCAAAACATACAAATATAGCAACAGCGGCAGCGGCAGCGGTGGCAGAAGAAAAAATTACAAAAAAAAAAAAGTAAATACTTTGTGAAGCGAGAAAAGTAAAGAAAATGTTTTACAACAACACAAAACAGGGCATAACAATAATACATATATGTTTTGAAGACAAATTAAGCAAAAAAAAGGACAACAACAACAACAACAACAAAGAAAATGGAAAATCCAAAACCGTGCACTGGCAACATTAGCATCCCGAAAATTGTTGGCGGCACATTTGTTGGATATCTTTTTCTCGTTTTTTGTTGCTGTTTTTGTTGTTTTTTTTTTTTTTTTGTTGTAGCGTTAGCTATTTCAGTTACTGCTCACTTTAGTGCCAGCGCACGCCGCAGGAGCCACAGGTACCAGCCAGCGCACTTGGCTGCAGCTGATTTCTTAATTTTTTGTTTTATTTGTACATACATATTTTTTTACTAGATACCAAACAGTTGTATGTTTGAACTTTTGTTGCATGATTTTCCAAATCTAATAACCTACGTAAAAAAGCGAAATATGAGATGTTTTGCGGCAGCGCGCCAGCTAGCGCGCCTTAATACGCGAGTGAGGGCATTGTAGGGCCCGCAACAAAAAAAAAAAAAAAAAAAACTACAAAAAAGGATATCTGAAAACAAAAAATTTAAATCAGTACTCACTGCCATACATACATACAAGCATATCTGCTCCCTCGCCTACGCTAAGTGTTTCAGGTGGCATCCCCGACTGCTGCAGCGCAGCGGCAATGAGGCGGCAAAATGCTTTGATCAGCAATCGAGCTAGCGAGCGAGTGTGCGCCGTGTAGCCGTCAGCCAGTTAGCCTCTCTTTTTCTTACAGATTTTTTCTTCACTCTTTTTGTTTTTTTGAGGATTGGGGCAACTTCAAAAGCACATACATACATACGTAAAAAGAAGTGTGGAAAACATGTGGAAAAAAGGGCAGTAACTGTGAAAATAAGAGAAAATTTCAAACAAAAAAAAAAAACATTATACATTTTTATATGTAAATATACAAGCCAAATGCACATTAATAAATATCTAGATACATTGAATAATAGCCATTATAATAATAGCGCGTCAACAGCAATATAAACAACTTGTCCGAAATGCTGTCGAAGCAGCAGCAGCAGCGGCAACAGCAACGCATTGGTGGGGAGTAGCAGCAGCACCAAAAAAGAGTTGTAAGAATTGCGGCCAACTAAAAGGCAAAACAATCGCATTAAATTTGAAGAAAAGGGTTTTCATATCATTTCGTCGTTAATGCATTGCTTAACTAAGGGAAAATAAATAGCTTATAAATTAGCTGGCTGGGTATGAAAAGTTTCTAAGGAACTAAAGAAGAATTTCAATGTACTACAATGGAGAGAAAAACACAACAACAAACATTGCGTATTAACAGCTCATAAAGTCTCATCAAATAAGTATAGCGCTTAGAAATTCAGCCTCAATGCTGTGACTGTTGAATCAATTCCTGTTTGGACATACAAACATAGTGTTTGACATTTAATTTTAATGTTATTGCGCTTGCTACCAGCATTGCTATAATGGAGCGATATACCGGGAGAAGGGAATAGGGCAGAGATGTCAATATTTTCAGGGAGAAGGAAATAGAAACCCATAATTGTGAGTTCGCAGAGCTTGAGTTGCTGGTAAGCGAGAATTCAACACGTAATGCCTACATATATGGAAATAAGTAGTTAGGAAGCTATTTCCTACACAGTAGGTACAGGACGCACAGTGTTGTCGAATAAAACTTCACAAAATTTTATGAAGAAAATCCCCACTACGTACATTTGGTTAAAATAAAAAATCACTGAAATCGGCTCAGTATTTTAAGACTTTTCGGATTAGAAAAAAAGTGTCTTTCAATTTTATAAACACAGTCCGACATGAAAAAATTATCTTCGAGATGGGGCTGCTGGTAGCCACTTCTAATAGCTTTTGTTAAAATTGAAACTCATATATTTGAATTTAAAGAAAAAAAACCAAATCAGCTACAAACGGCTATTTTATTTGCAAAACAGGCTAAAAAAATCGGGTGCCGGTTAAATCTAAACGTAAAATGGGACTAGGGTATCTTTAACAGAATACTGCAGCGGGACTGAAACCTTTGGTCAAACAGCTAGAGTGGTAAAAGTTCTGAAGAAGAACCAAACCACAAAGCTGGGTCCACGCAAGAGGCGTGATGACTACGCGGAGACTAGGATTGAGACTCTCTCTCTGTTCTCCTAGAGACTCACTTTCCTGGAAATTATGTGATGTTTACGCCTCCCTCTCCCTCGAAAGGGCAGGGAGGGAATGCGAGAATCCTTGTGCCAAGCTACAAATGGTTGGTTGCCAGAACTGTGTTGGGTGAAGATGCCATCACGCTATTGAAACTTTTGACAGCTTCAAATCGCCCCGTACGGATGGCATCCTACCTTTTGTACTCAAAAGTGTAGAGCTTTATTTGGCGACCTTGAAAACGATTTTCACAGCATCCTTTTCACCTACTTACCACAACCTTGGAGACTGGTTGATGGCGCCTTTATACCTTAGGTTGGTAAGGAGGACTATACTATACCCAGAAGCTGCAGGTGTAT